TAGCAATATTCGGGACCTGCCACCACAGCTCTAGAATAGCTTGTAGGTGCTCCAAGTCTCAAAAGGAGGGCACGAAACATTCTTGTCTAGTGAAGGCGAATTTGAGCACCATTTGACACAGTTTACTCAGTACTGCCAGAAGACCCTCCAGCCACTAGGTTTGTGTCAGGTTCCTTCACATTCAGCTATGTCATTTATTTGTCTAGCTTAAACCCTCTAGCATTTTGGAGAAAAATGGAGTGAATTCCACTAGGATTCACCTTCAGTGCAATCCATAGTGAGTTACTCTCACTGTGCAATACAGGCCATTAGCCTGCCAATCAAGCTGGTGTTGAGTATTATATATACAGGCACTCTGAAAGTCTGAACAACATAAAAGCAACAAGTGAGCAGATCTCTGTCAGAAATGATTTCTGCAGATGGCTACTTTGGAGCATCCTCTTCTGGGTAATATTCACATACACAGGTAGATTTGCATTCACTCATTCTCCATTAGCAACAGCAACTAAGGCAAAGGTTCCTGGAGTGAGACAATTAGCACAGCCCTTGTAATAAGGACTGTCAGCCTGTTTTGACAAAGGGAATCAGGCAGGGATTGTAAGTCACTGATTCAATATTTAGCTACAGCTAAGATAATGTGATAGTGACAGATTCTTTGGGCAGATCAAAAGTGGAACAGCAGTTAACCATCTGTGCAGAGTCAACAGTAAAACAACACAAAGGCAGAAAGTTCCAAAGGTGGACCCCTCAGGAGTTTCAATTTGCATAGGTTTTGTGCCACATACCTGTTACCATGAGCTGCTCCTGCAGTTAGAAAATAGCTGGTGGGAGAACATTCACTAAAGGCCCTTTATATATGAAGCTATTATATGCTCAAGCACTTGATTGTTTATTCAGGATTAAACTGAATTTTAAAAGGCCTTTATACTATTATCTACAGTACTGGCATCTGCACGTTTCTTTATCCGTCCAAAGGATAAGACAAGTGAGATTTCTCTATCTGCTTTTCCTGATGGCTGAGGATTCCAAGCTATGGCACAACAATGCTTTTTGCATTTTCTGTTTTTCAGTTTGAAAATGCGATGCATTTACCATAACTCAGTGCGACTGGAAAGGCAAAGACAGAGCTCAGTGCTGATTTCAGTGCTCTCCACATCAGCTTCCACAAACAGGGCAAACTAGATGGGAAATTGAGACATCTCAGTAAAGGAGGAGATGATGGTCTGCTGAGGAAGGGTTTCAAGGAAAACTGAACCACAACCTAAACAAACAGCCACAACAGAAGAAACATGATTTCTTTCCTTTTGCAACTATGTGATAACCAGAAGCAACCTGCAGCTCTTATCACTTCACCTGCTCTCTGCCCTGTAATGCAGCTCTGTGAGGACAACTCCTACCATTCCACACCTCTGAGCACCTTTCAAATAGACCTCATTTAAAAAAATAAAACAACTTGCCATAAAAATGTTTCTTCTTCCCTAGTCACCCCTTCAAAATACAGTTTGGCTAAAAGCAGGGATTTGAAGTGACCCTGGTCTGAAGCCAAGGCCTGACAACACTCAGCCTTCCACCACTGACAGTTTTTAAGGTCTGATACTCCCTGACCCATGGGAGTTATAAGCTCCTGCTCCGGCCTGCAGCAGAGCTGGGATTCTTGGCTTTCCATTAGTTTCTAAAAAGTTTTTACTCAGTTCTAATGAGTTACAAGACACTGACCTTAAAGACATGCACTTTTAAAACAGTGACTGCAAAAGTGACAGCAAGGGCTATAGTCAGGGTGTGCAACAGTTCCCATTCTCAGCTCCCATGGTAAGCTGTTCATGACTATGCAAAACTTTTCTCCTCTAGGCTTCCAGTTTTGATCTCTGCCTCAGGACTCTTTGAGCAAAACTGTGTGGCTATTTTGGAATATGAGAAGTGTGAAAAAAATAACTTTTCCCATTATAAAAGAAAAATCTTGCAACCTCTTTTTGGTGCTGAGACAACAGAGTCAAAAGCTCATGGTTAGCAGGGGACTTGGTCTCCTTAAGGAGAATCACCTTTCAGTGATCCAGTGAGCATTGGTTTGGATTTGAGTTAGTTACAGCCCTTTACAAATTGCCACTTGGGCATCCACCATACACCTGGTATGGTGTTACCATGGGATTTAGAAGCATGTGACAGGGGAGGGGTTGTGGGGGGGGGGGGGGGGGGGGTGTTAAGGTAGCTCTGGAGGAGCCCTTGCCTCACTCAGGACACTGATGTATGGTGTGTAGTGAATGATGCAAGGGGCGGGCTGGAGATAGGTGCTTTCAAGAAGCTGACCAATAGCTAGACAGGCTGGTACAGACACACAATGCCCTGGTGGCCAGAGGAAGGGATTATTTCATGGGTTCGCTGGAGTTGCATGGTGCTGCAGGAGGAGTTTCAGGAGGGATGGAAATGATCATCTTGAGCATCAGGGGCTGGAGGAAGCTCCAGGACTGAGCACGTGGGAAGACAGCAGAGGTGAAATGGGAGAAGGCTGCAGAGTGGAGAGGCAAGAGGCTTGAGTTGAGCAAGGGAAGGGCAATGCTTTCACCAAGAGGTAAGGGAGGAGGGCTAGGGGAGCAGAGCAATGGCACGAGAAGCAGAGGGCTGGCCTCGAGGGTGTGAGTTTTGCTTTGCAGCCACTATTTCTGAGATGTGCAGAAAGCAAATATTTACACAAATGTCTGTGGATGTAAAGTCTTAACCTGAAATAACAATCAACATGATCAACTAGTTCCCCAACTAGTATCAGCCTCATCACGGACTGGGGCTCGGCAGAGGCAGAACAATGATTTGTTTCCATGAATTTGTAATGAATTCTAATCAGAGGGCAAGTTACAACATGGTTCACAAAACCTGGCCTTCATCGTGGGCCTGTTTTAATTTGTCTCTGTCATCTACTCCCACTACAGGGCTGTGACTGATCCTACGCTTGATAAACAACTGCTCACGCGTTCTCGTCACTCATACTTCCCAACAGTCTGCGCCTTCCCTAGCAACCCTTCCATAACATCTGAGTGCCTGACAACATTCAGTGTATTTATCCCCCAGCCCTCCTGTGTGGGAGGGCAGGTTATCCTCTCCATTTTACATGTGGGCAGCTGAGGCCTAGAGAGACTACGGGCTAGATTGTTAAAGGTATTTAGACACCGGCACTCAGTGTTGCAACACTTAACTGATTTAGGATCCCTAATATCATTTTGGGGGATTTAGGCACTTAGGAGCCTAAATCCCATTACCTATTAATGGGATTTTGGTTCCTGGGTCCCTAAATTCCTTTTGAAAATGAGCTTTAGGATCCTAATTCCATTAGGCATTGCGACACTGAGTGTAACCATACCTAAATACCATTAAAAATCTAGGCCTAGGTGACCTGGCCAAGGTCATACAGGAAATCTGTGCATGAGCAAGGAAATCAAACCTCTCTCTCTTAAGACCTAGTCTAGTACCCCTAATCACTGGACCTCTTTTAGGGTTGCCAACTTTCTACTAGCACAAAACCAAACACCCTTGCCCCGCCCCCTGCCCTGCCCCTTCTCTGAGGCCCCACCTCTGCTCACTCCATCCCCCCTCCCTCCGTCGCTCACTCTCCCCACCCTCACTCACTTGCTCATTTTCACCAGGCTGGGGATGGGGCTTGGGGTCCGGGAATGAGTGAAGGCTCCGCCTGGGGGTGCGGGCTCTGGGGTGGGACCAGAAATGAGGAGTTTAGGGTGTGGGAGGGGGCTCCGGGCTGAGGCAGTGAGTTGGGATGCGGGAGGGGATGAGAGCTCTGGCTGGGGGTGCGGGCTCTGGGGTGGAGCCAGAGATGAGGGGTTCGGAGTATGGGAGGGGGCTCTGGGCTAAGGCAGGGGGCTGGGGTGAGGGAGGGGGTATGGGCTCTGGGCCGGGGGTGTGGGTTCTGAGATGGGGCCAGAAATGAGGGGTTCAGGGTGCAGGAGGGGGCTCCAGGGTGGGGCAGGGGTTTGGGGTGCGGGGGGAGGGATGAGGGCTCTGGCTGGGGGTGCAAGCTCTGGTGTGGGGCTGGGAATGAGGAATTTGGGGTGCAGGAGGGTGCTCTGGGCTGGGACAGAGGGGTTTGGAGGGTGAGAGAGGGATCCAGACTGGGGCAGGGGGGGTGAAGGCTCTGGCTGGGGGTTTGGAGGGTGGGAGGGGGATCAGGGCCAGGGAAGGGGAGGTGGGGCATGGGAGGGGGTCAGGGGTGCAGGCTCCGGACGGTGCTTACCTCAGGCAGCTCCCAGAAGCAGTGACATGTTCCCCTTTCGGCTCCTATGCATAGGCATGGCCAGATGGCTCTGTGCGCTGTCCCGTTCGTAGGTGCTGCTCCCGCAGCTCCCATTGGCCATGGTTCCCAGCTAATGGGAGCTGCAGAGCTGGCATTTGGGTCGGGGGCAGCGTGTGGAACCACCAGGCTGCCCCTACACATAGGAGCTGGAGGGGGGACATGTTGCTGCTTCTGGGAGCTGCTCAGAGCCACAGCAGGCAGGGAGCCTGCCTTAGCCCCACTGCGCCGCTGACCGGACTTTTAACAGCCTGGTCAGCGGTGCTGACCGGAGCCGCCAGTGTCCCTTTTCGACCAGGCGTTCCGGTCAAAAACCAGACACCTGGCAACCCTAACCGTTTTCCTCACTCCTCAGCTGATCTCACAGGCTTGAATATCTAACAAAGGGGAAACCACATGGGCAACAGGGAAAGGAACTTCAGGCCCAGAGACCCTCCAAAGTATTTAGGTGCCTAAGTATCCTGGAGGATCTGGGTCTTAGTTACTACGTGAAAAAATATTTTACTCCAAAAAAATGTGTGTTGTCATTTTCTTGGCAGACTGGACTGAACGCCACATGGAGCATACGCAGCCCTGGTGAGTCTGCATACCTCCCATTAATGTTAATTTGTGCTGGGCTGACACAGAGAGGGGACCACACACCCATAAGTTCCACATCCTACCTTTAGTCAACCTTTGAGTGCCCCAGGAGGAAAGCTACTGCACTTACTTGAAAGATATTGGAGAAGTCTCTGAGGTTGAAAATATAATGGAATTTGATAGCCGTTGGCAGGAAAGTAGCAGCTACTTTCTGGTGCAGGCCCAGTGCCAGGTGTATCAGCTGCTGAGACGATTTCTGCACAGGCCCAGAGAAATTCCCCCGTTTCAGATGCTGAGTTAGAATGACACTGTAGATGGTGGACAAAGCTTCCGATCCAGGGAAGGAGAGAGCAAACACACTGAAGTGGCGCTGAGGGAGGGAAGGAAAACAAAGAAAGGTTTCAGACTGGGTTGGCCTCCTTTCTTGCTGAATGGGAGTTTGGGCTCATTGAGCTGATCAGAAAGCAATCAGTTTTCCTACTGTGATTTCTCATCCCAATAGCTCAAGCTGATGAGCCACTTCTGAGGCATCCGCTCCCAAAGGGTGGAATTGTCAATTGCAATTGATGGTTATTATATTACAGTTTTTAAGTCAAAATGGCAAATAAACAAGCTCAGTGAATTGATTTTGCTGATTTCCTGGGGACAGTTTAGGCCTGTTTTTCAGAAATGTGCAGCCTCCATTGACTAAGAGAGACCAGTGGGGTCCCGAGCACTTTGGAAAAGCTGGCCATTTTATTCAGGTGCCCAAACAGAAGTTAGCTCTCTGGAAAAACTGGTTCTTTATACCAGGACAATATTTTGTCCAAAGGATGGTACCCTTCGTGTAAGGTGCTATATTCGGACCATTACTCAAACAAGGAATTGCAGGTTCCTTGTCCCTCTCAGTAAGAGCTAGGCTGACGGAGATGGGTAAGTCACAAGTTTTCAAGAGGTCAAAATATCTCATTTTACCAAACTATGGCAGCTCATTTAAGGAGGTCAGGATGCTGGGTAACTCCTTTCATGGAGAGGCTGGTCAAGAAATGGGGACAAATTCGGCTCTCAGTTCTACATGTTCACATGAAAGTTCTAGTGGCACCAGCTGGATTGCATGTATGCAACCTCTAAGAGCGGGATTTGGTTCCCATGCAGGATACGATGCATCAGGCTGTTGCGATCCTTCTCCTAAGTCCTGTTTGAGATCCCTATTTCTCTCGTAAGTACTAATAAAACCCAGTCTGTTTTCATTTTGCTGCCTGCCAAGGTGACCTGGGAATAGCTGACAGTTAGATACCTAGCAATTCCCTGACCACTCTGGGGCTCATTTGGCAAATGCTATCCCACCAATGCCAGCAGACAAACTGTGCACCTTGTGATAAGAGAACACCTTTCACAAGTTAAATAGGAGAACATGAGAACGGCCATACTGGGTCAGAGCAATGGTCCATCTAGCCCAGTATCCTCTCTTCCTACAATGATCAGTGCCAGATGTTTCAGAGGGAATGAACAGAACAGGAAGATTATTGTGTGATCCACCCCAAGCTGTCCAGTCCCAGCTTCTGGGAGTCAGAGGCTTAGGGACATCCAGATCATGGGGTTATATCCCTGACCATTTTGAATAATAGCCACTGATGGATTTATCCTCCATAAACTTATCTAATTCTGATGTGAACCCCATTACATTTCTGGCCTTCACAACATCTCCTGGCAATGAGTTCCACAGGTTGACTATGCATTGTGTGAAGAAGTACTTAAAATTGTTTTAAACCTGCTGCCTATTAAACAAAGCAATTGCCAGATTGGATCAGAGCTGAGATCCAGCTAGTGCACTACCCTCCCTCTGACATTGGCCAGACCCAGATGCTTTGGACGATGGAACAAGCAACCTGGCACAAAGCAGATGTGATATGATCTGCCCCTTATGTTAGGTCTCCTCCTAATCCCTGACAGTCAGTGACTGGCTTAAGCCCTGAGGCATGAGGTTTAATATCTCTTTCCAAATCCATGTTAGCATTAGCTATTATAACTCTGGATCATCTTCTTTCCTATTTTCATTGTATTTCATCTCTTTGGCAAAGGAAAATGTAGCTGGTCGCATGAGGATTTTTACAACCCAAACCAGAGAAAGTGAGTAACTACATTCCAGGGATAACACTAGATAAATAAAAGTAAACTCAATCTGTATTACTGTGAAGGCTGTTGGCTGGCTGGCAAAAGTGAGAGTCCATCTCAAACTGTGAGCCGTAATGTGTTAGGAAATATGGTGGGAAAGGGGCCAAAAATGAGGAATAAGGGAGAATTCTGCTTTCTGTTCCACCAGTGTAAATTAGAGTAACTCCACTGATTTAAATGAATTTACATTGATGTAAGTGACAGCAGAATTTGGCCACGTTTCTTAAGGCTGGAGTATTAACTACAGCGTCACGGCCATAATCTGTCCCTCCAGGTTATTCTTTTAAAGTCCATTCTGATAATATTCTAACTCTCCCAGTGATTTAATAGATTAGCAGTGTGCCGGTTAATTGACTCTACCTGAAGCCGTGGGTTGATGGTGAAACTCCCTGCAGTGGGGTTCATACATGACACGTACTGCACGTTCATGATCTCCTTCAGGGACAGTTTGTTTCTGTCGTACCTGTGGCAAACAAAGCAACACAATAATTGCAGCCTATTAGCAACAGACTTGTAGCAGCACACCCTCCCGTCAGGGCCAGGTCTGGAGCAGTGGTAACACACTTGTGTAACCCAGATGACTTCAGTTCATGCACCAAGACCCAGAATCAAAGACTATGCTCTTTGGGACACGGACCATGCCTTCCTGTGTATCTGTACAGGGACTTGCTCAACGGGGTCCTGATTTCAGTTGACGGCTTTTAAGCACAAGTACTATTGTTATTATCCCTCAGTATCACATCGTGGAGATTTTTTTTTTAAACAAACAGCCTTCACAACATACAAGATCTTTAAGCATAAAAAGCGGAAAGTTATTGTCTAAAATTTATTCCCTCATGAGTCAGCAATAAATCCTGACCATGAACTAACTCTAGGATTGAATAGTCAGGATTTTTGTTAAACTCTGCAGAATTCCTGTACTTTAGGTGCTCAAATGCACTCATTATCCTTTGAGTTTCCTTAAAATTCTTGCAGTGCCCAACAGCGCTGTCCTCTGGAGGTCACTGATCATGATGTCTTGCAATCTAACGTGTTCTTGAGCTGCCCATTCATACCCTTACCGATTGTTCCAAGTGATCACTGAGATTGTATTTGTTGTAGTTTTTCATTGTTTTCCTTTTCATGGCAGAGTTCTTTATACTTCACCATCTTCTCTTCTTGTTTCTTTTTTATCTTTCTGTCTGCTGGGATGGCAATAGCAATTAACAGGGTCTTGTTTGTCTTCTTTTCTACTACAACTCTGTCCAGCCTGTTTGCCTGCACCATTCGGTCTGTGACAACTACCAGATCCCATAAAATCTGAGCCTCTGCATTCTCTGGAGCACTTTCGATTTGGTGGTCATAATACCACATGGCTCGTTTACATCAATACTTGCCACAGAGGCTCCAATGCAGACACTTGGTGATTTCATTGTGTCTACTCCTGTATTCTCTCCCAGCCAGGCTCCTGCAAGTGCTCAATATATGCTCCACCACCTCTTCCTTTTCAGAACACACACACTGCAGTTCGGGGAGCAGTTCTGTCAGTCAATTTTGTTTCGAACATAATTAAGTCTTAACGACTGTTCTTGTGCACTCACACTGAGGCTCTTGGTCTCTCTTTTCAGGTATCCTCCTACAAGACATGAATCTGTTAATCTTTGATCACTAAAGGGTTCGAGCTCTCCACCGCTGTCTGTGCATTGATTTCTGTATAAATCTTTCCAAGTCTTTCTTTGGCCGTTTGCTTTCTCCTTTCCTTTATGCTTTCTTGGGCTGGGATGCACTCTGCCTTAGCTTGTTATCTCAACTAGATGATCTTTTGCTCTGTCTGACTTCTTAAATATTTTGATATTATATTCTTCATTGTCAATTGCTACCTCTACCTTTAGCACACCTTTAGCTCCATCGCATCGTTGGATGTACATCCTGTCCATGTCATGATATATATTCATTATTCTGTGTATCACCAGGAGGTTTCTTGTTTGGACGTCAATTTTTTTCTTCTCCTCTTGACTCCACTTGATCACACTGGCAGTTATCCGGTTAGTCAACTGACCCCAGCTGTATAGCTTCACCAAACTTTTCTACACGTCATCGTTCTCTGCATCTCCTGTTGTCCATATAATTTCAGATCATTCATGTAAAACAAATGGTTAACTGGTTGTTGCTCTTCGCTGATTTAATAACCGCAATTTAGCTCACAGAGAATTCATGTCAGTGGGGGCATCAATACCACAAACAGCACTGGTGATAAGTGCTTGAAAGATTCCTCTTTTAATTTGGATGCCATCAATGAGAGTCCCTTCCTGGCTGAGCTAAGTGTTCCAGTTAGCTGTAGATTGGGGCACAAAGGAAATGAACTTTGGATGAACCTATTGCATTTTCAGTGTCTCAATGATCCATGAATATGGGACCCTGTCATGTGCTTTTTGATCATATATCCACAGCATTTCTCAATTTTTCTTTTTCTGTTTTGCATCTTCTGTGATCCTCCTGTTCATCCTGAGGCGGTCTTTATTCCCTTTCATGTCACTGTGAAGCCAAATTGTTACTATTAAGCACTAACTAAGGACTGCAAGCTATCCCTCCCCACATATAGAAATTGGAAGGGAATTGTGCCTTGTGTCATTGTTTCAGCTTCCTGAATGGGAATGTGGAGGGAATCCGACACATATGCATAGGTGACAGTGCTGTGTCTGAGTGCATCAGTGAGAGCCTTGCAGTTGTGCACGTCCGTCCTGCCCCAGGGTAGCACACCACAGTGCCAGGGCTGGAGTATCGGATGCATGTGTCTGAGGAGCATGCGTACAACAGAGTAAGTGTGCTATACACATAGGCGGCAAGTTATATGGGCTCACGGTGCCCGGGCTCCAGCAATATTCAGGGTAGGCATGGGGGGGGGCACGTGAACCACCAGCTGGGGGAGGCTAGCCCCCAGCCCCACCCCTGCTGCCCGAGCCGCCCCCCCTCCACCTCCCGCCACAGCCGAGAGCCCCCACCACCACCACAGCCACTGGCCCAGTCCCGCTCCAGGCTAGCTCCCAGCCCCCCCTCCTGCCCCAGCCCCCCCCTTCCACCTCCAACCAGAGCCCAGAGCCCCCCACCACCACAGCCACTGGCCCAGTCCTGCCCCAGGCTAGCCCCCCAGCCCCAAAGGCAGAGCACTGGGGGCTGCAGCCGCAGGGGGCGGTGGTAAGCAGGGGGCAGAGTTGCGCCTGACTGTTTGGGGAAGCACAGCCTCCCCTGCCACCCATGAAGGTAGACAAAGAACTACGCCAACAGTAGAAAGGAGAGCTGCACCCTTGTTTCACAATCAGAATGCCACGCTCATCCAGTGCACTAAATGCCCCAATAACAATTCGTGGGTGAAGCCAGACAATCACTATGCTCTCACCCGGGAAAATGATAAAAGACAAAAACGCCCTATCACCCGTGGGTGAACACTTTCCACACAGCGATCACTCTATATCTGACCTATCAGTCTTCATTCTCAAAGGAAACCTGCACCTGGGAGCTTAAATTCGTAACTTTGCTAGACACTAACAATCATGGACTGAACAGAGACACTAGATTTATGGCTTATTACAACAATCTGTAACCCACTAACAACCCTGGATGCTTCCCCCAGCCCGCCCCCCCTCCCTCCACTCCTTTCCTCCCCATAACTGGAGAGGTGTTAACGGGCCACTTCACCTTGAAGGTTCCTTGAAATGTGTTAACTACTAATGCTAAACAATCTGTTCCACTTCCTATTTAGCTGTGACGCTGTGGGTTAATTTCCCAGATCTAAAGAAGAGCTTTGTGTTACCTCAAAAGCAGAAGTGGATCCAATAATAGATAATGTTTTCACCCTTACCTCACACTTGTTTCTCTAATATCGTGAGACCAAGATGGCTACAACAACACTGCATGCTTAGTGCCAGATTAACAGCATGAATAGCATGGCGCAGGGGAAGACACCTACCAGTGGCCATAGTCCATGTGTTGTCTGATCAGTGTGTGGGGCTGCACTGTTCCATAAGTGTCCACTTCAGGCATGTTCATATCGTCAATGAAGTAGATGAGTTTCTTGGTGCCAGGTGGGCCATAATTTCTACCAGCCTTTTTATCCAAAGGCTTCTCAAGTACAGCTGTATGGAAACAAAGGCAGATCATTACAAACATTAGGCTGCATTCACAGAGGATGTAAATAGTGGTATGAACGGTACGATTGGTGCACGCCAGCCATCAAACGTGTACGTGGACAAACCCCAAAGCAGGAAGAGGTTAATGGTCTGTGTTAGAGGGGAGGGCTGTAGTGAGCTCTACCCACAACATCAAGCCTGCAGGGGATAAAGAGGAAGGAAGCAGGTTTTAGAGGTGGGTTTTCCTGACAGAACTATCTTGGGTCTGAGGCAAATGAAGTAGGGGTTAGAAGGAGCAGCCCAGAACTAGGACCTCAAAGTGCAGCCAAGCTCGGGAAAGGCTTGGACCGGCCATCATGTTACCTGAGTGTCTGTCACCTCATCTCATGAACACATTGCTTGTTAATTAAGTCAAACCCCAGGATGGGGGTGAGTTTTGACCTCACATGGGATATGTGGATTTGTCTTGTCTCAGAACAGGTAGGAAAAAAGTGTCCCTCACTATTGCCTGCATCAGGGGAGCTAGTAATTTGCCTTGTCTGAAGACGAATTGCTGATCTTCATTAGGGGAAGGCTGAAGCACTCTCCACTGGCTTCCACCAGCTAGGAGAGGCAGGAGTCTCCCTCAGCAGTGGTGGCCAGATGTCTTTTAAAACCTCCAAAGCTTCACGTTGTGTGACCAGGCCAAACTCCAGCAAGAGCTGGCAAATGCTCACAGGTTTCTGTCTTCTGGCTGGGGAAGACCATTTCTTATCAGTTGTTTCAGGTCCTGTGAAGGAGGACAGAGCTTTTTGCAATGAGCCTAGGAAGTGGTGAAGGGTTTGGGGTTTTTTTGTGCTTGTTTGTTTTTCCTGTAAAGAACCATGCAAATTTATAGTTCTATATAAATATTTAATAAAAAAATCAGCCATATCGTCCAAAGGATCCTGCATTGTCCTAAGTTATCATTTCCTTGAACACCAATGTGAGCCAAGCTTTATTGCACTCAACTGGTGCAAAACCAACCAGACAAAGCCATATTCTATACCCCTTTCCCCCCCTTGTATGTTTACTTTGGGAATGCCTTCTGTCTCAAGGTGTACTATTTTTCAGTACATGCCAACTAAATTTGATTTGTTTATACAGTTTTTAGTCTTCAGTGGACTTATAGCAGTGCTATAAAAACATCACAATAAATAGCAATTATTTATAATTACAGAGGATTGGACAAAATAAAGGACACTGGGTATTTTAAAATAGCCATTTGTTAGAATATACATTTAATACATGCATTATCACGTGGAAAAAGTTATTAAGGGACTTTTTTTCAGAATACCAATTATAGGTTTATATGTTCAAAAATGCCTTTTCTTCACCATTGCTCAGAATCCAACGATTTCTCATCTTTTGACAGCTTGCTGCAAAAAAACATTTAAAACTCTAGGGAAAAAATGATGAACCTCCTCTCAATGGAGTAGCTTCCCACCAACCCCCCTCCACAAAACCACAATATCTGAGGTTTCTGGTAGCAAGTTAAATTAAGTGTTTCAACTAAGCATTTACTTTACATTTAATTAGTGTTTAATTAACATATAAAATCAGCCATTTTTGAGGTTTAACAAATACGTAAGAGATATATCAAATTGAATTGCAATTACTGGGAATCAAATGACAAGTCTGGGAAAATAGTCTTTTAATTTGAAACAATATCTCATAATACTAGTAAAAGGGGATGTTTCGCTATCTTTGAAATCCTGACCTATTCAAATTAGTGTCTGAAATAAACATTCACAGTAAATGAGATTTATTGAGCAGGCTTTGTGTTTTCCAGTGGCTGTCCATCAAAGAAAGCCAGGTTGCCTGAAACTCTCTAAGGGCAAATTTATACCGTGCAGAGAGCCTGCACAAGGCCTATACGCTACTTAAAATGCTATGGTTTTGAAGGGGAACTAAGTGGCCTTGCGTTGGATCTCTCATAGTTTACAAGCATTAAACTCCATACATAATGGCATCAGAAAGCTCCCGGGGCTCTATGGCCAGTCAAGTTAGTATGAGAGACTGAGCTAAAAACTTTGGGATGCAATGTCAGCCTTCCCATAGTGTACCTGATAGGAGTGCTAGTGATAATGTAGGATTCAGGCCTCTATTTTTGCCTGAGATAGAATTCTATGTCATTTGCCCATTTGATTCTTGATACACTTTTATTCTTATTAATATGTGTGAAGTAAGGACAAAGACACTGTATATGTTGCTTCTGCCTAGCCAGATGGGTTTGTTAGTATAATGGGAACAGCTAAGAACAGTTAAAGTGTTACTGGGCATGGTGGTAGTATAATATACGAGCGCACACTTTAAGACTGCCTCAACTCCTATCTCAAGGCAAGGTCAAGCAACCTATCAGGAGGGGCAATGGGGGACTGGGGGGGGGGGGGGAGGGTAAAAAACACTAAAAGGCCAAAGAAATGCCTGTCCCTGACCATAGCACCACCTCACTCCTTACCCCTCCCATGGGAGACAAAAGAGATGGGACGAAGACCCCAGAGTCACGACCCCCCCAAAACAGAACATGACCATAAGTTGTAAGGGGTGGGACCAAGGGCATGCATTTCAAATATAATTATGCCTGCTAAGAAGCGGGGAGAATGGGACACTGGGAAACAAGGCTCTGCGGTGTCAGAGTTATGGACATGCTTGCTTGAAACTAACCCCCCAAAACATTGTGTTGCCTGCACTTCGGACTTCTGGTCTTCTGCTTTTTGTCTGTGTGACAAGAACCAGGGGAGAGGGTGAAGGGAAAGCCCCCTAACATACCCTCTCCAATGTGGAGTCACTGCCTCCACCCAGCATGATTTGCATTACTAATCCTTATTACTTTAGTCTCTCATTGGCAGATGTCTAGCACAAAGCTCTTCTTTGCCCAGTCAGTCCTTTAGGGAAGAATGTTATGATGGTAGCTCACTGTCGTAGAGCAGAACTGCACAAAGCCACTAAAGGAAAGGACCTCTCCTTCCATTAGTCTGGGCACAACACTGCAGCCACCAATGGGCCACCAAATTATAGGAAGAGACTAAGTGAGTGGGAGGGAGAATGAGAGTGAAAAGTGTGGGATAGAATGGGGAGAGGGAACAAGCAAAGGTTGAAGTGAGGAGAAAAAAGGAGAAGAAAGGAAAATAGACTAAAAAACCCAGGCGGATGGGAGGAGAGATGGAGATGAGCCCAAAGTGCAGAGCCTGTAGTTCCAAGCTTGCCGGGTTAGGTTGTCAGGATATGCCTCAGATGCACACCCACAACTGGCCGCTGGCTCGGTATACAATTTCCTATACCTTTACATTCACATAAGAGCTCTAAAAATCATTGACTGCAAATTGGGAGCGTACCGCTGAGTGGGCAGGAGCGTTGGCATGTCTCTCTTCAGATAGTTAGGCACGTAAGAGCAGATCCTCTGCTGGTGGAAAATGTCATAGCTCCATTGTGGACAGTTTCCATCAGCTGAGGGTCTGCTCCATGGGGTTCCCAAAAACACTTGCTCTATTTCTTATAAATCCATGTTCTGAAGGATACTCGACTGTAAAAATGAAGGGTACTTGTAACCGAGGCTCTTTGAGATGGACTCTGCATAGTCCCACTCTTGGGATATGCGCCAACTGGTGCCGATGAACAGTGCGGCTTTCTACTAGTAGTGCCTACTGAAGTGCTCACGGGGCCCCCCCTCCCCTCCCCTCAGCGGTACCACATGTGGGGTCCGCGCAATGACCCGGAATGGTGCCAAGACGGACTGTGCCAGGACCAGGACCTGCTGTGCGATGGTGATTGACGCTGCGAATGGGAGCGCTGGTGGGACCTGGAGTGGTGCTGTGAATCAGACCGGCGCCGTGAGTGGAACTGGTGCCGCGAGTCTGATCGGTGCCGCGAGTCTGATCGGCGCTGAGACTCCAAAGGGTGTCTTGTCCCTGATGGTGCCAAGGGGCAGAGCATTGCAGGCTTTCCGCGGGACAGAGCCGCACACTGTGGCATCGCGGGCTTTGCACGAAGGGCCGGGGACCGCAGTGCCGTCATGTCTATGAGATCTCTTGCGGCCTCAGATGTGTCGAGGTTGGAAGGCAGTTGTACCTCCTCCACCACCTGACATGGTGAGTCCAATTGCACTGGACTCAGAAGTCCTCCTTGCAAGACCGAAGTCAACGGTGCTGGCTCTGCAGTTTTCAGCACAAGGGGCTCCTCCCTGGGACACGCCCCATTGGCTAGTTCCGAGGGGTTGGGTCCCAAAGTCGGGGAACCACTCCTACCCTGTTTCTGGTGCCGCTTCTGACCTGGGGAATGGGACTGGTGCCAAGTCATCTCCGACAGTTTCGGCACCGGAGCCGCTGCCGGGGTACTACACACTGATGCGCTTGGTGCTGGGTCCTGCTACGCCGATGCTGGCTGTGGTCTAAGTGCTGCCTCCATGAGTAGCTGCTTCAGTCTAAACTCCCGCTCCTCCTTCATTCTCGGGCAAAACCCTTTGCAAATCCTGCACTTATCTGCCTGATGTGTTTCCCCCAGACACTTCAAGCAAGAGTCGTGGGGGTCGCCCATTGGCATAGACTTGTTGCAGGACTTACAGGGTTTGAACCCCTGGGACTTAGGCATGCCCTGAGTCCCCAGGGAGAGCACGGTCGGCTTGAAGGGGAACCCCCCACTCCCAACAGCGAACTAATAACACTATACTAACTAATAACTAACTTAACTAACTACGGAAAACAAACACTAAGTAAATAGAGCTAGGGAAATGTGGCGAGCCTGCTGAGCAAGAAGCCACAGTTCCACCGATGGTCACTGGCGGTAAGAAGGAACTGAGGAGGCACCAGGTCGGAAGAGTCATATATAGAGCGCTATGGAGGTGCCACTCCATGGGGCTCCACAGCCGACCCAACGGGTGCTGCTGGGCAAAAACTTTCCGACAACTGTGCACGCAGTGCACACACACCTAATTGGAATCGATATGAGCAATCACTCGAAGAAGAACTACTCTATGAAAAATTGTAAAT